TCAAAAACAATGTTGAAATCATAAAAACTGGATTTAAAGGATAGTCCAAAAATCCAAAGACACGACGGCCATCTTGGAAAATGGCTGCCATTTTGAATTTTCCCTGTGGATGTTTTGTCCTAAGTGGGCAGCCTATGACTAATGTGCTGTAAAATGAGTCCGCCGGCCCTGAAAACAGTGCAGAACATTTAGACGGGGCTGGTACTGATCCGCATTAAGTTCCTGTCAGTGTCTATCTATGGATGGATCCATGGTTCTACTAGAACCCAGTCTCTGGTCACATCTCACCACCTGTTGAGGCTCTAACATCAGCAGAACCTGTTGTGGTGAAGTTGGACCAGACAAGGTTCTGGTTTTACACATTTAGACTAAATGTTGATGTGGGTCATTGGTAGGAACCAGAACCTGGAGTTTCTATATGTCAGTACCATTGTCTTCATGTGAAGAGTTAACCACACGTGAGGCTGGTTCTGTGCTACAGAATGTTCTGATGATACCGATAGTTGAGCTTTTGTCACCCTGAAAATATAAAAATGTCCAGATCAGGAAACGTGTGAAACTCAAAATTCAGCTGAATGATTTTACAAAACTTATTTTGGTTCCCAAGTGACACCAGCTGAGCAGAATCTGAGGCTGACCCGGTGTGTTGTAACCGTGTGTGTGACGCTGTGTTGCTGTTCCAGGGCCCGATGTGTGACCTGCTGTGGTCGGACCCCGATGACCGCGGTGGGTGGGGCATCTCCCCCCGAGGTGCCGGCTACACCTTCGGACAGGACATCTCTGAAACCTTCAACCACGCCAACGGCCTCACCTTGGTGTCTCGCGCCCATCAGCTGGTCATGGAGGTAAAAGCTGTTGTTTAGCTCCTGAAGGTCACCACAGATGAATCCCTCGTGTTTGGTTTTTTTGGAGAGTCGTGACCCAGATGCTGACAAAGCGGGACACTTTACACATTAGCAGCTAAACGGTGTCTTTGTCCCGTACAGTCTGATTTCTACACGTTCAGATGAACTGTTGGAAGTTTTCTGACAGCGATGAACTCATGCTCACGTGTCTGAGTGTTGGCCGTTAAATTTGGCTGCAGCAACCTAAAAATCCCCGTGTCTCCATGGCAACACAGTGTGCTGAAGTTGAAAGAGTGCGGCGCTGCTCCATCCCCGTTCCTGTAGCAGCTTCACTCCCACTGAGCTCCGGCTGAGAGGCTCTTCATGCACTTTGTGTTTACGTGAGGCTCACTCAGCTGCTGCAGCAGCTCAGGACCTCGGAGACGAAAGCGTTTCCACACGACACGACCAGCCGAGGCGGAGGACTTATTTCACTGCGTTATCGTCCTCACGCACGTAAAAGCAGCTGTTTCTGAACCTGCTTAAAGTTATAGGAACGTCACACATCTCATTTATGAAGCTCCTGTTGTCCCGTCTGTGGTTGTGCTGCTGGAGGCTGAAGAGCATCGAAAATCCAACATGTTTCATTTTAACTGGACGGCTCCTAAACATACTTGGATCCAGGTCACGTCAGCTGATTGATTACATTTCTAAGAATTATTGGTCGACGCTAGCTTTGATTTTCATCATAAACTAACATGATTCTGTTTTTGTTCCACTGCGACTTCAGTCTTGATTGTGATCGTAAAATTTGCTGGAGGCGACTAAGTCGGAGCTAAAAGTCTGGTTTGATTCAAAAATGTTCTCCGGCTGGTTTTAAATTTAAAGTTTCTCAGAAGGAGTTTGGTTTAAGGACGTTTGTGGCTGCAGCTGATTATTATTTTCACTGTCAATCTGTTGGATCAGAGTTTCCTCAAACGTCTTGTTTTGTTCAAAAAGATTCCGTTTACTGTCACAGAGGAGGAAAGAAACACATTCAAGAAGCTCCAATTATAGAATTTAAAATCTTTTTATTTAAAAAATGACTCGAGACAACAAATTATTGATCAAAATAGCTGTTAATGAATCCAGCAGTTGATCACTTAGTGATTAATAATTAGCTCTAGTGCTAAAATGAGCGGACAATACAATGAATCCATATATAGATATATATAATATACATGTCTAGTATAAAACTCCTCTGATGGGCGTGTCTGTGGAAACGTTTTCAGAATAAATATTCCTGCAGAAATCCTGGATTTCAGGCCAGAATCAGTGATTATTTCTACGTGATGAAAGTCACCGCTGGATCAATAGATACAGATTTACCTAAGATTCTTCTTTACCTGGTCTGTGATGAAGAGTTTCCCGTCTGACTGCGTCTCTTCACCTGCAGGGCTACAACTGGGGCCATGACAAGAACGTGGTGACCATCTTCAGTGCTCCAAACTACTGCTACCGCTGTGGAAACCAGGCAGCCATCATGGAACTGGACGACACTCTGAAATACTCTTTGTAAGTAGACGGAGCTGCTCGTGAAACCAGGTTCACTGCTGAGTTTAAACACCAGACGTCCTGCAGAGACACGAGTCCTCCTGCTGGGTTGGTGGAGTTTTACCTTGGAGTGAAATGAATGAAGACTGATGTTCCACCATCAGATGTAGAAAGATGTTC